TAGAGGAGTTTACCTAAGGAACGAGATCCTACAAAATGGATCATTAAAACTACGTTTCTGATTGGCTGAGATTGGCATCTTCGATTAACTTAAATATGTGAATGAATTACTTTAGCGCTGAGATATCCACAGTTTGCATGGCGACTCCTGATAAAGGTCAAAATCGAGATTCTAGATAATGCCAAGGAGGGAGAGAGCGCGATGCACTGTTTTAATCACCCCCGATCCTGGCGCGGATCTAGGATAAATACTGACCAATTTCCTAAACGAGCGCCGAAGGCACAAGCTTCTAGAGGGGTCTGGGGGCATGTCCCCCCGGAAATTTTTGCGGAAGTTTTTTTTAACTCCCTTTCGTCTCCTTCCCTGGGTTACTGAGTCATTCAAACAGGACATTGGTCGGTTCCATTCTCCTAGGATAAAGCCTTGCAACTTGGAAAGTTTTTCTTATTAAAAATATATCTATTACCAAAAATCTGACTGATTTTCGTAAAACGGTGGAAACAGGTATGGATCCGCGCCTGAGATCCCTCATGGGAAGAGAGGCGAAGAGAAAGGGGGTAAAATCTCAGTGGAATTTTGATTGATCTTTACCTAATTAGACAACGTTCGTGTACTACTGATATGTCCAAGTAAAATATATGTTACAGCAAAATAAACTGCTGGTTGATTTCCTAGTGATTATCCGCACTGCTCCGGTCTTCGGATCTGTAGGTCCGGGTTCAAGCCTTGCCTGCTACACCATCGCGTTATGTCTTCATTCAAGAAACTCTTCTCCATTTGCTTCTCTTTACCTACGGTGTGTAAATGGGTACTGACGACATATCATGTCCAGGGGCGAGTGAAGTGCTTCAACCTTCAGAAATTGGGATGAGCGTCGTGTTGGCGCGCTCCTCTGGTTTCCTCTTTATTGAATTCGCTACGGTGACTCAAACCGATGACAGGAGATGAAACAGGACTTCCGTCCCAATTGATATCAATCCCTTCCATAACCCACCCAGCCCATGAAAGGTTGTACCATACCACCATAACCCACCCAGCCCATGAAAGGTTGTACCATGGCACAGGGGTCTACGCCCCCTACTCTTTACGAACAGCAGTGTGGGTTATTTTATGTTCGACAAGAATCAGAACAGTGAATTAACAGGGTGTGAGACGGGGCGTATGGTTTTTCGCTCCTATCAGAGGAGACTAGAATGAGTAACGATTTGTAGATGTCACAACAAAGGCAGCACATTCTCTTCAGTTATTTTAAGACCCTGAGTGTTGGTTCGGCTGAGGTATGAACCCACGACCCCCGGGGGGTACTCCCTCATATAAGCCAAGTGCCGCCCCAAAGGGTATGGTTTTTACGCCTTTTGGTCTGAAAACGGGTATCCATTTTTCCCATTTTGGTCTGGAATTGGGTATGATTTTTGAGGGCACTTCGGAGAGTATGAACGAATTTGTCGTTTCAATCCCAAATGAATAAGAAAGAAAGAGTAATGTACGAATTCGAAGGGGATTTTTAAGAAATCTTTTATTTAGCTCTCAAATCTACATAGTGATGACATAATTTTTTAGAGAGCAGGTCTGAAAACGGGTATGGATTTTAAGAGGCCAGGTCTGAAAACGGGTGTTACGCCACACTGACGAGCCCCAAAAAGGACGAAACAGCTGTATGGCTACAATCCCGCTCTGTTTTGAGTTCTGTCGGTGTCGTGTTGATGTCTTGCAAAGTTGATTTTCACGTAGTACGATCAACATTGCAGTATTGTACTTGCAGAATTTAATATGTCTGTGGAAAATAACATTTTTTGGTCTTAGATAGGGTCAGGATTTGGAGAACCGGGCGGCACACCCCCACCAAGAATTCCCAGGGATACCCCACGGGCAGCGACCTCCCGCTTGGCTGACCGGCGCTCATTCGATTGAGCTAGCCGGTCGGCGGGTTTCGCGTCCCCTTTAACTTAACACTCGATATCGCGCCCCTCCCATTTTCTAATGAAATAGCCCTGATGGCGAACAAGAGGTTGGACTCCCTCCATCTCTCTAGAGGTGATTCGAAGTTCATCTAAATAAGCAGCTAGGATGTAGCTGCTATCTGTGCCACGCCAGGACGCATGAGCGTATCTGAAAACATGTCGGGGACACCAGTTAAAAAAGTAAAGAAACAGAAGGTAAAAAGTGAAAGCATGAGCCTCTTACTTGGTGAAAAATTCTGCAATTTCCCATGCAACTCCATTTAAAGTTCTTTCAGATAGGTTTTTTTTTCGATTACGCCACAACGGAAAACTGTTTCAGTACTGCTGCCTGTGAAACAAGCTCCTAAGAAAAAAGTTGTTACGTCTCGCGTCACTGTTAAATTTTTTGGCCGCGTAACAAGTGTATTTAACGCATAGTGGAAGCTCGCCTGAAACATTATAGTCATTTCGTGAGTTAAGCTGGGATTAGCCACCTCAGTGGAGACGCTGAGAATTCCAAAATTGTAAATTATTAATCATTAGCAATTATTGGATGAGACTGAGTATATGATGTTCAGAATTATGCAGAACCAAATCATGACCTTGCCTGGGTCGCAGACGCTCTAAACCTTCAGTACGGGATACACGTGATTTGGACAAGGGCCAAAGGTAAAGGTAAACAGCTCAAAAAATCGGCTGATGGCCGCGGATGCGGATGGGAAAATGGGGAAAGAAAAATTGTGAACAATAACAAAAACAACAAAAAAAAAACACAAATTTGGATATATAAATTGTGTCACTAAAAAATTTCTTAACAAAACACGTGTATAACATTGTTCGGACAACAACAACAAAAAAAGGACTAAATATCCTCAAATTAAAAGAAAACTAGAGAAAACAAACTAAACCAAAAAAACAGTTTAACCTACGCGAAAAAATCGGCGTGCTTTGCCTCGCCCATTTCACGCTTGCCTCCGCTAAATCGCCATGTTTCCTCACAAAGGAGCCTGATCTTCAAAAGGGCTCATAATACAATTTTCTCTCTGCCCTGACTCTGGTCCGACTCTGCCAGCAGACAGTTCAGAGAGTGATTGTGAACTGCAGACACCTGTAGAAGCCCGTTTTTGAGATCAAAAGCTAAGCTACTGTTACACTAGTTGTTTTCTGTTACACAAATTTCCCTCTCGGTTTTGTGTGAATCGGTCTCGTTTAATGAGGGTTTTTCTACAGAAATTCATTTTTAAGCAATATGTTGCACCCTCAACAGAGTCATTTTTCTGGCCTTCGTTCCATTTTCACCGTTTTACCAAAAGCTTCCATCAATATATAAAAAATGCTGATCTGGTGTAGAAAAAAAATTTATAAATGCTGATCTGGTGTGGCTAAAAAATTTATAAAGTTTTCTTAAGAAGCAGCTTGGTTTTTTCTTTCTGATTTGTAATAATTAAACATCTTTCCATGTAGAAAAGTATGTTTGGTTGCTGCTTCGCAGATAGACGGGAGCTGGCCAAATAATTCGAATATTATATAAATTATTTTCGAGTGCGAATTCTGCCCTTCACGCTTTTAAAAACGAGTTTTAAGTTGCTCGATACAGACGTTCTAAAAACTCCCTGAGGATATGTTTTGGAAATTATTTTGCTAGAAGAAAATTTAGAAACAAAACCAAATGAAACAGAAAGAAGCCTTCATTAATGCGTTTCCAAGTGACACTTTTTTGTGGGAGTTTAATTTTGTAGATTAGGTGATTTCTAATTATTACACCTTTTCGGGAAACAACTTTTGCGCTTAATCAAGAAGTCTGTTCTTTCTTTTCAATCTGCAGTATATTTTGCAATTTTAAAAATTCGAACTCATTATTCGTGCACTTATAAATTCCCAAAGGGTAGAACTTGTAAAAGATAAATCCACATCATAGGCGGAGTTCATTGGCATCTGCCAAATCGGAAAGTTACGTTTTTTGCGTTCGGCCTTTTTTCTGGTTGATGCTGCAATTTTTCTCTGTCTTGAGCAGCTCGAATACATAAGTCTTGATGTGATTGCCCTGAGAATATTCTCTCTGTAAGTTGAGTACACTATATCCAGTGAGAGCAAATAAATCAGAACTCCAGGTCAGAATGATTTTATATTAAAAATTGTTTGTCGTTTGTTTTGCAAGTACTAACACCCATCATGCCTCCCCTCTTAGCGTGATAACCATAAAATTGCAAACAAAGTAATGTTTAAAAAAATAGCGATTACTCCCGAAAGTACAGACAGACTGCTTCGTGAATTACACCACTTTAGGATGCTGGCCTGGTAATATTCTGCATTCTGACCCGTTATTGCAGGGACCACTGGCTCCTTATTGCGTAAAGGGAAGAATATTAAACGGGGCCAGTGCAAAATAAGCGAACCTATGCTAGCCGATTTTTTGAGCTGTTTACCTTGCCTGCAAGCCTTAGGCTAAACACTCAAAGGAGAAGTGCACCAAGTATGCGTGCATTAAGGAGGAGGAACGGAGCGTCCTTATTTCTGTGGAAAGAATTACAGGGTACAAAATAACTGTGTCAACTATTGGCTTTACGTTGTGTATGTAAGTGAAGGGTCCAACCATGTGACAGCGACTTGAAAGAAAGATTTCTTTCCTTTGATTGTTTGTTTATTTTATTTTTTTTTTGCCATCCACATTTCTCGTTTTTCTCCTCTTACTTTTTTTGTTATCCGCATTTGTCTTTAACATCCGCATTTTTCCATCCGCATTTTGCCAACCGCATCCGCCATCCGCAGGTATCCGGTCCGCGTTTTACAGACACCCCATGACCATGACATTCATTGCTTAAAAAAAAAAAAACAAGCTAAAACACGCTTACCTCGAAATACTTTAAATGAATAATAAATCATACATGCGAATTTCTTGTCCTTATCTATCTTAGGAACAGGCAATCAGCCTGAGGCAATTCATTCTGGGCTGGTGTGATGTCCAAGAATGACAAGAATGAAAGAACAGAAGGGAAATGCAGGAAATCCATTCACTTTTGTTACTCTTTACTACCGAATAACAAGGGGTGGTCGCAAAGTCAAGCTGTTCCCACAAATGGCGGTGACTTTTCGTTCATTTGGACTCAAAGTTACACCAATTTTTGCCTTTTATTTACGTCAATTTTGGAGAACTTCACTACAAGTTTTATAGTAGGCTAAAGACTTTGTAACAACGTAACTTTCTGGGATGGATGCCCGTGGAGATTCCGCCGTAAATTCATTACCGTCCGTTTCAAACTCGTCTGTTGAATCTGTTAATGCAAATGCTAATGTCGATGAGTTGGATCCGTTAATTCTTGGAGCCTCGGAAGAAGTTAACACTTCTTCGGTCTGTAACGACGACGGAAACAATATCCACTCTTCGAAGAACGATGTTCGCGACGAAACTTTTATTTCAGAAGTACTAGGTCTTCAGAGGAAATCTCCTTTAAATTCACCTTATACATACAACGAACAGTCAAAGATAGCAAACGAGATAAGCATAAGTGATGTTGAAAGTCGTTTGAAGGCAGGGGTCGAGGTTCTTACGAACTCCAGGGATGTCAGCGATAAAATGAACGAAAATGTGAGAAACCATAACTTGCTGGATACAGAAACTTCGGGCGTTACGACTACTGTGGTTTCAGAGGGACTTTCACTGGAGAACGCTCGAGGGATTGTTGTCGTTGAACAAGTCGCTCTGGATCAGATTAACGAGTTGATCGCAAGCACTACGCAGTTACAAGAATACAACTCTAGTAATGGCGTTTTAGATGAAGACCAGACTCACAGAGGAGAATTCTCGAGTGAAAGCCAATCAGAGACATGTAGTTCGTCATCAAATGAAAATAAAGGCTTAAGGACGAGAAAACCGCCACAAGATAAGCTTACGGAATCTACCGATACTTCGGAGGGAGAATCAGCCGAATTGTTTTTGAAGAGATTCGAAGACCTTGACACTAAACAAATTGCCGAAACTCTCGCTAATGAACTCAAGAAGTATTCAATACCACAAGCTGTTTTTGCGCGAAAAGTTTTAAATCGTTCTCAAGGGACATTAAGTGACATTTTGAAGAAGCCAAAACCTTGGAACGAGTTGAGAGGTGGCAGGGAAATATATCGTAAAATGAAGGAGTGGTTAGATCTGCCAGAAGTAAAGAGGATCCCACAATTGAGGGCAGAAGGTGAGGGACGCTTTGGTGTGAAAAAATGTTTTCCTCCCGGCGGTTACTTGGGTTAATTGCAGCTGGGTATGTGCCGCTGGCCACTCAGAACCCCATACCCCATTATAGTCTATTCTGACTGTGGCCATATTATAAACCCCATCTTAGTCACTGTCTGCTTATGCAACTACCTCATAAAGCCTTTGAACTAGAACACCCTGAAATGAACTGCCACATTTTTGGTAACTTAATGTGGTCTATACCTAATTGCAATAACGTTGTCGTAGAAAAATGAAAAAAGGAAAAAGCCAAATAGGAATTAATTAGGCTAATAAGCCTCATGAATTCATTTGCAGCATCCGCATAGGGACGTCGTGATTTGCCTGTTGGAATTTGCTATTGTTTTAAAGCTGAAAAACAATAAAAAAAATTCCAGCAGGGAAATGCAGGAGCTGCAAATAAATCCACCCTGAGAGTATGGCTTAATTAGCCTAATTAATTCCTTTTTGGCTTTTTGCTTTTTTCATTTTTCTACGACAACGTTATTGCAATTAGGTGTAAATCTTTCTATTTTTAAATCCCTAAATCCTGTCCCTGAATTTTCTGCCCCCAAGAATCTGAAAATGCACTATCCCATTCTAGTAACTCTTACAAGAATGTAACACCATAATAGTCAATCCAGTTGTGAAAATGCGACCCCATCCAGCAGCACATGCTTATTAGCCTACTTCTAGGGATTACCCTCCCCCAGGGATTTTCCTTTCTTTCAGCACCGTTTGACCAAACTGTTTTGTTTAAACCTGTGTTGCTCATTGTGGCACATTTTCATAATGCTCTTTTGTTGACCAACTGTAAGCTTAAGGTGGTAAGGTTTTTCAGGGTCAATACATCGAACATTTGAGCTTAAAGTACATGGCCATTAATACCATTGATACCACCAGAGCTGTATCAGGTAAAGATGAAAATTTGTTGTGATCAAGGTTGCAATGACATCGGAGTTGTCATAGCAACAAAATGATGCCTAGTTATTTCTTTTATTTGCAAATGTATTTCTTGGCACTGGAAAATGTTCTTCGAAAATTGTTCATGGGAACTTTTTCTATTGTAACCCTGATCATAACAAATTTTCATCTTTACCTAATTCAGCTGTAGCGGCAATTTTTCCAAATCTTTGTTAATGGTGACATGGGAGGTATTGACCCTAAAAAACCCTGTCGGGCCACCTTAATGGTTAATGCTCCTTTATTAATGTTAGGCAATTTCATTTGCTAAGAAATGTTTTTTTTTTCCCAAGAGGACAATAACATGAGACTTCCTAATTGATAGACAGTACTAACCTGGGGCCATCCCAGAGGGTCAACCCGGGGACGTTATTTTTGCTGCAGATGGCAGGCGGGGGGAGGGGGGGAATGAATCACTTTTGAACTTTTGTATCATTATCCCCAGGAAAAGACCCACAGGAACTGCACCTACATTGTATAGACAAGAAAAAATATTCAATGTGTCCTACAACAATAGAGTCAGTCCTTTCCCATTCTTTGACTTGGTTACAAATTAAGTAAGCTGAACTTCATCACATGTGGTATATATGTGCACTTTATTTGCTTATTTTTTTAATCAACCTTCAATATAATTTAAAGTTCTATAAAAGAGGTATTTCAAATAAAATGTTTCATTGCTGGTTTTCATTGTTACACCCTCCAAAAATAAAAATTGAAACTCGTCCACAGATAAAGTCAATAATCCAGGAGATGAAAGAAGATAAATAGCACAGTCTTGCCAAAAATCAGTTCCATTAACTTTTTCTTTTGTAAGATATAAAGAGAAATGTTTTTCTGAGAAAGATGAAATGTAGATTATTTCACACTTGTCAAGAAAAATCAGCTCAGCATGTGGGGTTTGGTTAGGGTTAGGATTAGGGCACATCTGACTAGTGGTGCCTTTGCCATGTTTCATTGCCTGTTCAGGGCTCAAAAATAAAAAGATCCTCAGGTCACCTTTTGGTGACCAACTGGAGAAATATAGTCGCCAGATGCAAATTTTTAGGCACCAGTTTGTATAATCTAAATGATGCAGCCCATAGTATCAGGGCTTCTGATATTTAGGGAGGTCGCGGAGCTGCGAAATTCAGGTAAACCCGCAAAATTCACAAAAAACATGCAAATTACTGTGGAATTCATGAGAAATCTTATCATATAAATGAACACATTTGAAACTTATCTCGGCTATTGGGGCTGTTTAATTGCCGTAAACTTGCAAATTTATCTTGAAACTTCATCACCACAATGAGTGAATGTCCCAAAACTACCAGGTGTAAATTATGTTGCGAAAAACTGGGTACTAGTCATGATGTTAAAATTTTTGCCATTGGCTCATTTCTCAAACGCTTTGTTGTTAGAATAGCAAAATTATCATCTCTGTTAAAAAAACAACAAACACACTTGTCAAATCAGCACAAAATCAATCGATTTCTAGTGAAATTTGTCCAGAAAGTTCCCACAACATCGGCCATTTTTTACCGATTTTTTTCGGAGAATCTGTCTGAAAATCCCGCAAAATTTGACTTTTTTCCGCAAGCTATCAGAAGCCCTGTAGTACGGCGTAATCCATCAGATTTGATTGTTTGAAATTATCATGGACAAATAAGTCGGTATAAATGTGGAGGTAAACTGGCTTTGCTTATGCGGTTTGGCATATTTTTTATCACGAAAGCAAAGCAAGATAAGATGAAATGTTTGTTTTAACTTTACTGTTTTAATAATCATTTAAATCTAAATCATAGAGAAATCTGGTCAACAAAGTGGCAACTAAACCAGAATTTTTAGTTGCCAAGGAGAAAATGTTAGTCGCGTTGGCAAACATATCAGTCACAATTTCAAGCCCTGCAGTTTCAGTCACACTAAGTCACACATTTGATGTGAACCAAAGATCATCAAAGGTAACTTTTTGTCCTTTAAGGAGCATGGGACAATGAAAAAACATTTAAGCCACCAGTAGGTTTGGAACTTTGACTTAACAATGTCAGAATGATTTTTCTCTTACTTAATACCAGAGAAACTGCATCTTTTTTAAGTACATGCAAAAACAGCATAGTAAATTCCTTTACTCATCCACTCTGATTGATGCTGATTATGTTCTTTCAGCTGCCTTGGAACTTGATGCTAAAGCTAGAAAAGAACATGCTGAAGATCCACCAACCAAGAGGGCAAGACTTTACTTTACAGACTCCCAGAAGAGAGCCTTGTTTGCTATTTTCAAAGAAACCAAGAAACCTTCACGAGAAATGCAGAACGCTCTTGCAGAAGAACTGGGACTTGAAAGGGGCACTGTTGCAAACTTTTTTATGAATGCCAGAAGACGGCATCCAGAGCTCTGAGAGTCAAGGTACATGTATATGTTTAAATGAAATCAGTATAGTTGTCAATCACGTTAATGTTAAGCCTGCTTTTCGGAGAAGAAACAAATTCTAACTTAGACTGCAGTTTAGGAAATCTTTGGACCTCCAGATGTCTTCCTTAGTGGGTATTTTTAAGGAAAAAAATGCTTTTCTTGTCTACGCCATATGCTTTTATCAAATTATTCACGATAAACGGTGTTTATGTAAAACGGTCTGGTAAACTTAAAGTGGCTTAGAGCACAGTTTTGTTAAACACTGGCTAAACTACATTAGTAAAATTCAACTAGTGGTCTATTATCAAAGCTGTGTTCTGATTGGTTGAGCTACTACTAGGCTATATTTTATAGCCCACTAGTAGGGCAAAGTGTCGGCTTTTTGGTGGCAAAAAAGGCTTTAAGTCTAGCTTTAACTAGCTAAAGTTGTTTTGTCTCGATATTTTTGACCAACTAGTTGGATTTTACTAAGGCAATTATTCCTCGAGTCCGAATGGCCTCTGAGTCAATAGCCCATTTGGCCTTTGGCCTCATGGGCTATTGACTCAGAGCCCATTCAGACTCGAGGAATAATTGTTAATTATTTTGAATAACTGGCCCAATGTTTTGCCACATAAAGCTTATTTCCTTATAGTGATAATTATATACATGTATATTATGGTTTCTCATGTAAGGTACATTGTAGACACCTCTGTAAAACGGCATATGCTTAGTCCACTGTACAGAAGGAAAGTACTTCCCTACTTTCTTATGAAATAAATTATCACAAAACAGGCATCTCTGTAATGTGGGTAATTACACTGTGGGGTTTAGCATTGTCTGTCTGTGAAGTTACGGGAAAGCAATAATCATCTGACCATTAAAAACTGAACCAAATCAACTATCCATGTTAAGCGAATCAATTTATATACACCTGATTGAAAACACGTTGTCGCTTGAAAAGTGAAACCATGAACAATGGTCCTAATGGATTTATGGGTAGAACTTTGTTAGCATTGCAATTTTAAAGCTCTTTTCAGAAATGTTTACATTATCGAAGCTTTTCACGACGGTGCATTTCATAAAACGTCAAACCGTTTCCAGTTTTCACGGCGAAACTCACAAGTTCACCAGTGCTGGACACATAAGAGATTTCTACAGTTAAAGAGCGTAGCCATATTGCTAATGCACACTTGAAAATCGTAAGATTGGACCTAAAAGCGTTCTCGGAAGACAAAAAAAAGACAACAGCATGCCTTAAACAAAGTACTTTAGGGATTTGCAAAAGTTTACATTGGCACGAGCATCTCGTGACAATGCAAACTTTTCTCAAAAAAAACTTTGAATTTGCTTTGCCAATGAATGTATACCTATAAATCCTTGAAACCTCATCGTTCATGGTTTATACTTTTTAGCGACAACGTTTTTTTCAATCAGGTATATAAAGGAAATAATGAAGGTGTGTTCACATAAATTAGGTGGTTTTTGATGGGTGAGCTCTGCTCCCCATTTTGCCTTTTTTAAAACCTTTGTTCCAGGCCTTAGGACCTCTTTCAAACCTCGCATCTGAATTTAATGCTAACAAGGAAAGTCTATTATTTTATATTCTTGCTCATTTGCCATGGATGCAGCACTAGTGAAATGTGACATTTGTGCCAGGCCTTAATAACTTGCCACAAATGCTTCCAAAGCTCTGTAATATCTGAACACAGTCGTCGGTCAATCTAAATTTTGTTATCAGTATAAGAGGAGTGGCACACCCATCTTTTACAGGCCCTCTGTTTTTCCCATCGAGTCTGTCCCAGATTTAGACAATGTAATGTAATATTATTGTGTTATTATTAAATTGCTTCATCATGTATGCAGTGTTTGAGTCATTGTTGTGTTAGATATTTTATTGGTTACCTTAGGCCCAAGACCAATTTAACATCATCTAGGGTCAGGTTGTTCAAAGCTGGGTTAAGATAACCTAGGGTTAGTGCGAAATTTGAATTCAGATATGAAAGCTTAAAAAGTAAATTCAGTTTAATTCTTTTTGTCAACAAGTTGATGATTGAAAGCTCTTAAAAATAACAGAGAAAACTATCCGAGAAAATGCTTTTGAACAAAGGAAAAAGAAACCTGGGTTAAATTTAACCCTGGCATAAGCGCTAATCAGCCTTCGAACAACTGGGCCCAGTATGTTAGCTGATGCTGGATATATTTGCTATATAATACTGGAGGGTGGTTAGAGCATTTGACTTGCAGTCCAAAGGCCCTGAGTTTGAAGGGGCTATATACATGTACATGTATGTCACAAAATTTGCTCTCCTTTTTTTTTTTGAAGGTAAAACTTTTTCTCATCAGTTGAATTCCAAAATTAATGGTCCAGTTTCAGTTAGGCATTAAAACTGTGGCAAGGATGGACATGGATTAAAAGTTGGAAGAGTTGGGCCAACGTTTTAACCTTTTAAGCCCCAATATCCACATACAAATTCTCCAAACTGATCTCTATACTTTTCCTTTAAGAATTAGTTAAGAGAATTTGATAAAAGATCAAAGTATTTTCTCTTGGGTGATCATTTTATTAATTCTCATAACCTAATCTCATTATAATGAATGGATATCGTTAGGAGAAAATTGCTGTTGGTCACTATTGGGACTTAAAGGGTTAATTAAGTGTAAATGCTATGCCTGCAAAAATCACCCAAAAATCTACAGTAGAATTTTGTGTATGGTTAAAGGCCCTAAGTGATTATGCACAGAACTGACCAACATGTAAAACAGCAATATCCTTGTGACATACATTGTAGCTCCTTAAAGTTCTGCCCTGACTTCTAGTAGGATTTGAGCACAGTAGTCCCAAGTGCATATCTTCGCCATGCCTGTAAACTGCCACTTGCAAATTGCATCTTCAAATTTTTCAAATTCCAACCAGTTACTATGAAATGAAAACTGACTTTGCACTGAATCTCTCCAAATTACCGTTAAATTTGATGGTTGGGGATTTTAACTAGACCAGTTAAAATGCTAGAGTAAATTTCCATTTAAGTCAGAGAAAAACTACATAGGTGTTTGATAATACTATGTGAGTCCTAGCTTTAATAAGTATTTTATTTTTTCTTTCAATTCAGACTGTATCTTTGTCTGGTTGATGTTCTATCGGTTGTTCAAGTATCAAACATCGGAGACAAGGATGGGAGAGTTAAGCATCTGGCAGTATGGCTCCTGGCTTTGGGCTTGTATCAATACAGTTATTATTGGTGTTGTTTCTTTACAGAGCTGTACTGACATAGCAGACCAGGTTTTAAGCTTTTTGGTGTTGCTATAATTATTATCAATACCTTTACTGACTATCAAAGCCATATAGAATGGAAAGTGCAAGTTATAAGAACTTTAGAAAAGTATCCAGTGGTGATTGTGCTAGAGGATAAGGGATGAGCTTTTCAATTCACATGTAGTTCTTAACAATTTCCATTTGGATGTAATCTCGGACCCAGATCTCTTGTTGACAAAGCCTTGTTGACAAGAGATCTGGGTACGAGATTAGTTTGGATGGTCCTCCATTTTTTGCACTATCTTTGTGGCTTTGCATGATTTTCACACGCAATGCATAAGGTTATTATAAATTCGCATAAACTGCACGAGCAGTTCATGCAAAGAACAAAACATAACTCTCCTATTTTAGTACTCCCCATTAAGTACTTTGTTTACCCTCCCCCCCCCCCCAAAAAAAAAAAAACGATCTCTATTTAGTTAAACCAAAAAACAAAACATAACTCTCCTATTTTAGTCCTCCCCATAAAGTACTTTTTTTCCCCCCCCCCCCCCCCCAAAAAAAAAAATTACATAACCATTGTCTTCGATCTCTATTGGAACGACTGTAATACTCAGGAGAAATTGGAAACAATAGTTAAGCAAAATTTGGGGGTAGGTGGGGGAGGGGGTGGGGCGGGGTAAACAAGGTACATTGTTATATTCCTAGACTTTCACTCAACTAAACAGGGACTGCCATTGGTTGATTCTTGGTCGCGTGGCCTTGACTAAAATCAAATGTATCCCGATCGTGATATATTAAGCAATGTACCCCGCTTGAGATACATTACAGCACATGATCAAGGCACTGTGGAAAGTGGCGTGACAGAAGGCGGGAAAAACACTGCCAGTTTTCTTTTTCGTGAATGAACACAACAACATAAACACGAATCCTCAAGCTAAAAAGCAACGATTTTAAAAGTTATCCTAGAAGAGAAACAGCAGCCAGCGGAGGAAAATGACGCAGATAATATAAGGAAAGTACTTTGTAAATCATTCATTCAGTAGTTTTGAGAATTAAATTGGTGTTGTTATAAGTACCGAGTGGACTGTTTTGGTTCGCTCTGGTTATGTTTTGTTGCTGTTGAAGTGAAAGTCTAGAAAAATAACAAAACCCTTAATGTCAGGTCCCTCAGGAAACCAGTTAGTTTTGTTTTCCCTCAAGTCCTGATGTTTCCCGAGACTTCGTCTCGGGAAACATCAGGACTCAAGGGAAAACAAAACTAACTGTTTCCCTCGAGATCTGACATTAAGTGTATATTATTGTCGATGTAAAAATGGTGAATGCAGAAGTCCTGTTTACATGAAACACCAGCCAAACTGCAGTTTAAAAAATCCTATGGTATTTTCTGCGTTGGCCAATTACCTTCATTGTTAACTACATTACATTTTTGTATTCTTAGCAAGGTAACACGGGAATAGTATTTGTCATGTGAATGTTAGCTTTAAGGTCCTTATCTCAGCTGATACGAGCATCTGACCATGCATTAAAAGAGTAGGGCTGAAAATCTTTCCCACCTTTAACTTTTTACAGTGTATTATATTAAAAGACAAAGAGGTGGAGGATTTCTGGAACATGGTATTACTATATCCTAAGGGCCTGTTAACATGAAGGTTGGGGAACCGAGATAGGTGAGGTAGCCCGCTTAGGTGGGGTAACCCGCCTGTCCATATTATCTCTCATTTTCGGGTGACCCGCCGAGGCGGGTTGCCCAGTGTGCCAGTCCGAGCAACCCTCTCAGCCGGGGTCAAATTTTGCCATGTAAGCGTGTCAAGGTGGGATAACCCTGTCTTTGGCGGAGACTTTGGAGCATTAAAGTGACAATAAGAAGCCACAGCTCTGAAAGGTTACAGCAAGAGCAGCAAAAAGGCCAAAACACGTCGTTTGCCCGCCAATTTGCTTTGTCTACGTGCTTAGCGACCATTCAGTAATCTTGGGAAGTGTACCCCGGGATAGCGTGATTGTAGGATTGCGTGTAAACGCGGGTAATGTTGTTACCCCACCTGAACGGGTTACCTCACCTACCTGGGGTCCTCAACCTCCATGTATGCGGGCCCTTAGACGAAAAAATTCTAACAGTTTTCAACCTTGTGAACCAATACAAAAATCAGACTTTCACTCAAACATTCTGTCAAAGTGTTGATAAATAAGTACAGTATTTGTTTCGCTGTGTTTAACGTTGACAGTTTGTACCTCAGGGACCGAAAAGGGCGTCTTCCTTTTCATATTGAAACTCGTTTACTGTGTTCATACTTGCGGCCTGAAACAAATGTCAAGCATAATAAACTTGAGCTTGCCTTGAAATTGCTGTGTAAGTTGTTTTTTATTCCTCGGCGGCATGTCAACCAAAAAGATAACTTCCTTACTTTCAATTTTGATTACGCAAACGAGTTATACGTTGTGGATAAAAATGTGCTTATGATTTATTAAGAGGCGGTGCGGTACAGTATAACACAACTTTAAAAAAGAGTATTATGAATGAAATATTACAGTGTAACAATTAGATAGATAATTGTGTATGAATTGAGAAATAAATCAACTATTTTATTCCAATTTGGCTTTATTGGTTCTTAAGTTCTTAAGCTTTGTTACAGTCATTGCCACGAAGTAATCAAAGCATGCCCTGGCTAATAACTCATATCTCATGAAATTCGAATTCGTTAGGGACGAGGGCATAACGGATCTCGCTCTTAAACCCGGAAGTAAGGGGAGCGTAAGGGGCACTCAAGGGTAGAGGGATGCGGCCGAGGCCTTCAAACCCAGACGCTGTTTAAGACAAAATTCGTTTATTTGGCTAGACTTAATTTCATCATGTTTCATGACCCTGATTCGTTTCGTTTCGTATACAGAATAAGGTAATTTTTTAAACTAATATCATGGAATGACATTTGTTTTTGGAAAAAAATTGTTGGTATGATTAGGCCCAATTTTAGCAGCTTCCTAGGTTAGTACCAAGCAGAACTTCTATATGTACAGGGGTGTACATGTTGAACATGTACATGTAGAACGCTCATCGCTAACCTTCACACTCTTTTAAAGGCTTCCGGTCCAAAAAGGCACCCGGTTGAAAGCCTGCAGGCAGGCGTTCGAAAATCCCCTTCCCCTTTCCTTTCAAACGCTTGCTACGCAAATTACCCTGTTCAATACGCTAAATAGTGAAATTGTATAAGTTGTGGTTTAATTTTATCCTTGGTTTAAATTTTATTATCTTTTGTTTCAAAATCATTATCATACATTACCATACCCAAAAACAAAAGATAATAAAAATTAATTTAAACCAAGAATAAAATTAAACCACAACATATACCATGATTAAGACCCAAGACCCTGAAAACCTTACCCTGTTCAGCCGGTTCAGTACATACACGTTTAGGCCTTGAGTCCTCCCTTGGGGTTGATTTCCAGTGTCGCGTAATTTTTTCGTGCGTACGCACGTAAATTTTACACGCGTAAATGAAATAGAGGCAATGTATGAAAGGCCACGCGTAGATGTAAAAGTTGAGCGAGGTTCAACTTAAACGTATAAGCGTGACCTTCCATACGGTGTCTCTAGCTTATTTACGCGCGCAAAGTTTACGTGCGTACGCATGGAAATATTACGCGACAGTGAAAATCCACCTTTAAGTTTCTACGTTTTGTTTTTCAAATGTTAGTCATGGGACAATACTCTAGAGAAGTGCCTCCTTCAAATTTTGTCGTATGTGCATAACATAACTTGCGAAAAGACAAAGGACAAAATCCCTCGAGGGCATCAAAAGGAAACATACAGTATCATAACAAAACTGATCGGAATGAAGTTCAATTGTGGCTGTTCCTTGCAAAACATAGTTTTCCTGTTCTATTATTTAGAGTCTGAGG